ACACAAAGACAGAAGGGAAATTTCTCAGCAGAGACACTTCAGACAGTCTGTGCTCCAGTGGAAGAAAAAGCCAAATCGGTCATCTCTGTGGGCAGTCTGTGAGTACTCACGTGGGGCTCCCTCCGCCATTTCTATCGCCGTGATTCCCAAAGACCAGATGTCACTCTGAGCAGAGATGCAGAGACAGTGGAGTTAATACAGGCACGGGGGGCGGGACAGAGACACGCAGCGAGGGAGAGGCTGACAGGCCCACAAGTCTCACCCTGTAGTCATACGTGGAGTCTGGGTTTTCGTCACAGGCGATGACCTCCGGAGCCATCCAGTAAGGTGTGCCGATGAAGGTGTTCCGCCGGCCCACAGTCCGGTCCAGCTGCGCGCTCACGCCGAAATCCACTGAGGGATGCAGAGAGACGGGGGTTATACAGCCCCTTTCCACTCCTCCACTGCCATGTGCTCAGTGTGCATACTTAACAAGTCCAGCCAGGAAGTACTGTACTGGAAGTTTCAAGTGAGACTCGGGTTACTGTGGGAGTACTTGGCTGGACTCCTTCACCGCCTGTTGGGTGCTTCAACAGAACTAGAATCCTGGTCACTGCCAGAGGTCTCTGTACCCCGATACCACAGATCTGAGAGCTGGGGCCTCAATGACTTTGGATCGAAATGAATGGGTCTCTTAACTGATCTACTTGGACCTTTCAAACTGGGTTCATCATACACACACCTGCAGGTTTCAAGGTAGCAACGTAAACTAATGGGTAACTTGAAACTCCCAGTTTCTGAGGCATTCCAAATGATTGAAAACGGTCTCAATTAGTCCAACTGGGGGCACAATTAGCTAACGAGAGCTCAGTGTTAAAACTGAAAGATTAAGATTAAGGGGGTTCCAGGAAGCAGTACTGGGAACTACACGGCGAACGAGTCCCCTGCGCTCTGCCCCCCAGCCCCACCACTGATGAATCCATGTTCCTGAGGCTCAGCTCAGGCGACGTCAGCACGCACCCAACTTGACCTCAGCATTCTCGGTCAGCAGGACATTCTGGCCCTTGATGTCCCTGTGGATGACCTTGTGGGCGTGGAGGTGAGACAGGCCCTGTACAGACAGACAGAGAGATGGATATTTAAATAGACAAGCATGGGGTTTTACATGCTGGTAGTAAAAAACAGAAACTATGAATACAAAATGATAGGTATTTGGGTTGTCGTTTATTTCCATTTCTAACAATGGATATATATATATACAGGATATATAGTTAAAAGTGCAGAATTTAAATCAAGAGATGTTATGTTTAGCTGTACAATGCAAGAGTAAGGCCTCATTTAGTACAGTGTGTACACTTTTGGTCACCGTGTTAGAAAAGACATCCAGGAATCCAGGCGGACGAGAGCAACCAGATACATTCCCAGGTTTAAAGACATGTCCCAGACTGAAAGGCGAATGAACTGAACCTCTTTAGTCTTCTTGAGTTAGAAGACTATGAAGGGACTTGATACAAGTACTCAAAATATTCAGACACTGAGAGAATCAACCCAGCAGATTTCTTCCGAATAAACAGTGAAACAGAAACCAGAGATCACAAGTGGAAAGTACAAATAATCTAAAACTGAGAACAGGAGGCAGCTCTTTACATGAAGGGTGGCAGGAGTGTGGAACAAGCACCCCAGCCACGTTGTTGAAGTGTGGCTTCTTTCGAGGTCTGGCTAGATGGGATCTTGGGATACGCTGCCTACTAACACACCAACGTACTCGACGGGCTGAACAGCTTCCTGCCGTTCGGATCCAGTCCTATGTCGTAACGGGCCAGAATGGATCATGGAAGGACAGGAAACGCGGCGAGTTTGCCTGCTGGCGTGAAGTGCCTTCTGGGCATTGGCCACTCATACCACAGCCTGGCCCGACTGCGTCTACACTGCAAGCCTTCAGACCGCTGGAATAAGTCCTCCAGCTCTGCTAGCATGAGGGGACGCGTCTGGCACCGTTTCCACTGGGAGAGAGAGACATCCCGGCAGGCAGAGCAGGGCAGAGGGACCCACCCGCAGGATCTCGCGGCAGATGTAGGCGATCCAGTCCTCCTTCAGGGAGTTGCCCTTGGTGTTCTTGACCAGGTCTGTGACCGAGCCGGCGCCACAGAACTCCATCACCAGCTGGGGACGCAGAGAGACAGACAGGTTTAACAGCCACGCCCTGGGCACCCTGAATCAACACAGGCAGCCGGCCGGCCAGAGCGACAGGCCAGTGGAGGCGCAGAGAAACAGGCAGGGAGGGGGACAGACCCAGAGCTGGTCATCGTGACCAGGGGGGCTCTTCTTGACAAAGGCGCCGTAGTAGGTGGCGATGTTGCGGTGATGACTGTATTTCTTCAGCATGTTGATCTCCTGCTTGATCTCCTCCTCTTCCTCCTCCGTCACGTCCATCACCTTGATAGCAGCCAGCTGGCCTGTCTTCACATGGCGACCCTGAGAGAGACAGAGGTTAAGGGGCAATTTTTATATTTTTGGCATTAGAAAGATTCGGCGTGGATGAGTGCATTTCAACCCACAATAAAAGTAAAATGGACACGGACAAAATTTACTTAATTTACTTCACAAAACAGACTTAATTTCCAGGTATGCACAGCCCGTACTCTGCAATTCAGAACGGGGCAACTCAACTGCCGGGGAGGTGAAGTGGCCTTATAACATTGTAAACAGGCAGGCTTGTGAATCCACCCCTTTTAATCCAACAGAAATACTGCTCTCTACTTCGAGACAGTTTTGCCGACAAATACTACTTACAGTACCTGTTAACTCTGCATGCAGAGCTCATTGGAACATGTCTGCTGCACAACCTGTACTTATTCGCTCACACATCACAGGCCATGAGTCCTGACAGTGACTAGCGAGCAGGAAGGGCCGCATCACGCCGCGGTTCATGGGAACTCTCGCTCTTGCGCATGGAGAGACCAGGGCTTGTGACGACATGACGACTATCCAGTACTTTCACAAAGTTCACGATTTCGTGCTTAATTCAAAATTTGTCAAGCTTTTCTATACCGTCAATGAATTGATTTGTTTGCAGAGATTTAATAACCGGTCTGATAAACTGGGACTGCAGTTCCTCTTTAATGCAGACACACTGGGCAGTACAACACAGTTGGACGCCCTGATACTGACAGTGCGCTGTACTGCACACATCTGCAGACCTGAAGATGACAAATTGTCCAGCAGAGGGGGCAGATGAG